CTACCTCTTGAATTACAAAAAATATAGACACCCAGCAATGGCTTTTTTCTGATTGAGCTGCTTGTTTTAGCTGCAAGTGTTTCCTTGTCTGCTTCAAAAACCCTAATTTTGGGATAAGATGAGTAGGTTGGGGAGTTGGGTCTCGGGATTCATCTGTCTGTAATTAGGGTTGTGTTCTTCCGTTCCCCTTTTTTATTATTTTTTTCACGGGTGAAGTTTATAATTATGGAGAGATCTGATGGGAGAGATCTCAATGGCTTCATCGACCCATCCAGGAGCTCAGTTTCTGGTGCGCAGCTTGGCCTTTACAAGTTTCCGTTTTTATATATTTTTTTTGCTTTCGATCCCAGTCTGCCTTTTCTCATTTGGTTTTCTTGGATGCTATTTTGTTTGGTTGGAAAAATTGTGGCGTTTTGAGCTTTCTGGGTTTTGTGATCTCTTCTTCGATTAGTTAAGAATAAGATGGGTTGTGAATTGACTTAGTTTGTTTGTTTGTTTCGGGATCTTTCAATGCAGATAGCGTGCTGTTTGATGCATCTCAATATACTTTCTTCGGGAAAGGTGCAGCTGATGGAGTGGAATTAGAGGGTTTGGAAGATGAAAACGAGGATGTTCCTGCAATTGGAAGCAGATTTAATGGGGAAGAAGATTTGAACGAGTACCATTTGTTTGACAAAGATGAGGTAAACAAAGAAAATAAATTGTACAGACTGTTTCTAGGGAATCTGATGTTGGTGATACTTGGTTTCATTTTTGTTTGTTGCCTGTTGGCCTTTTGCAAATGTTCTATGGAATGGATGTCTGCACACTGTGTCAGAAATGTGTTGCATGAGTATCTTTTAATTGAAATATAAGGTGTAAATGGTGAAATGATATATGAAGGCTCTGTTGCGATGGTGACCTCTGCCTATGTTATCGGTTTTGGATAAATGCATTTTACTAGAGCATGCATCTGACTGTTGGAACAATAGCTAGTGTTTAAGGTGGTGTCTCGGCACACTGAAGTTCTGAAGCTGCATTGGATAGTACCTAATGTGCAGTTGTGCTAAAAATTCTGGAAGCTTAAATGATTCTTTTCTAGAAATGGATAACAAATATTTGAATTGTTTGTTGACTTGATATTGTTTTCTGAATGAGGATGAAGTGTTTAGTTGTTGACTTATATTTGTTTTACAGGGGTCGGGCTTGGGATCACTATCGGATATAGATGACCTGGCTACTACATTTGCTAAGGTGAGCAGTGTTTGCTTGGGAATTGGGTCTGTGCTGCTTTCCATTCACTCGGTTATTCCTTTTTCCGTGGAGCCATTTGGTTTCGGCATTGTATTGTGAAATCGCCTGCATTTGATCATATGAGAAAGAGGCCAACCTGTTTAATGGATATTGAAGTTGGTCTATCCCACATTTTTTCCTATTAAATTATGTAATCAGTTTTCATCAGCTAACATTATCAAACATAATATGACGTGTAAAGTGCTTCAAAGCTCTAAAACAATGAAACATGTCATGAATAAACCCTCTGTTGGGTAGAACTTACTGTTGGGAGTTGTATTAGTATTTTCAGTTTATTAATCAAGTTGTTCATCTACAGATAAACAAAGTTGTGTCTGGACCAAGGCATCCTGGAGTTATTGGTGATAGGGGGTCTGGATCTTTCTCAAGGGAAAGTGAGTTTTTTTGGTTGCTGATCCCAAGTTGTAATTTATTTCCTACTAATATATGTGCTGCTTGTTGTCTTGCGATTCATACTTGATAAATCAAGCTGTCTTTCTGGCTTAATGCCATTTATCTTGCATGATACAAATGGCTTGGTGAATACGAAAGAAATTTCAGTTCAAGTTTGCAATGTAGTAGGGTTAAAAAGATTTTTTTCATGTTTGTTTCCACGAGAAGAAGATATTTTGCTAGTCATCGTGATGTCAATGTTTTCTTGTGCAAAGGACCATTCCATTATTTTACTTATGAAGCTGTTAAAAAAGAAATTAGGATATTGTTAGCTAAAATGCTTAAGAATGTTTATTTTATCATTTTATTTTATGATTTACTGCGTCGCAGGTTCATCAGTCACAGAATGGGCACGAGATGCGGATTTCCCTGATTGGCTTGAGCATCACATATCAGATTCTGAATGTTATGAGGAAAACAAGAGATGGTCATCACAGCCCCATCTCTCTTCACTGTTCCTTTCGGAATCAAAACCATTACAGAGAACTTCTTCATACCCGCAGCCTCCACCACAACCTCTGCAACACTGTTCGAGCGAACCCATATTAGTCCCAAAATCATCTTTCACTTCCTTTCCTCCACCGGGTTCACAACAGCAAGCTTCATCGTACAATAATAATAATAATTCCTACCACTTTAATCTGCCTTCACTTTCCGGTGGGTCTCAGTCTTCTCTATCCACACCAAACAATTCTTCCTTAAATAGTTCTGCTCTCCATTTGTCCGGCTTGTCTCGTGGGCTCCGTTATAGCACGAACATGTCCCAGTTGACCACTTCGCCAAATCTCGCCCGCCAAAATCGACTACAGAGCCAGTGGAGTAGCCATGCTGGCCTTCTTCACGGGGACCATTCGATCCTCGTAAACAATATATTGCAACAACAGTATCAGAACGGGCTGCTGCCACCTCAGCTTCTGTCGTCCCCACAGCAGCAAAGGGGACATTTTTCCTTCAACCCATCTTTAGCCCATTATTCGGCATTACAAAATCAAATCTTCAGCACTTTCCCCTCACCTGCCCATCTGAGTAAATACGGATTGCCCGAAAAGAGAGGTTCGAAACCCAAGTCAAATAAAAGCAAGCAGCACTCTGTTCGTTTTTCCCAACAGACTTCCGATGCCAGCAGCAGCCTCAGGAGTGAGAGCAACAGTCTCCCGCAATTCAGGTCAAAGCACATGACTTCCGAAGAAATCGAAAGCATCCTCAAAATGCAGCTTGCGGCAACCCATGGCAATGACCCGTACATAGATGATTATTACCACCAGGCCCGACTGGCCAAGAAATCTGCCGAAACACGGTCGAGGTCCCGTTTTTGCCCATCCACTCAAAAAGAACAGTCTTCTTCCAAATCACGCAATAGCACTGATTCACAGCCGCACCTCCACGTGGACGCTCTCGGAAGGGTCGGTTTTTCGTCCGTCAGGAGGCCCCTCCCTCTTCTCGAGCTCGACCCGCCTCCCCCTGCCTGTGGAGAAATTATTCCCGAGCACAAATCGTCCGAGAAGCCTCTGGAAAAGGAGCCGATGTTTGCAGCTAGGATTACGATTGAAGATGGGATCAATCTTCTTCTTGAAGTCGATGACATTGATCGGCTCTTGCAGTTTACTCAGCCACAGGACGGTGGGACCCACCTCCGGCGAAAGCGCCATGTCCTCTTGGAAGGCCTGGCCGCCTCTCTTCAGCTAGTCGATCCTTTGGGGAAAAACGGGAATTCGGTTGGACTTTCTCCCAAGGACGATATCGTCTTTTTACGGATTGCTTCCATCTCGAAGGGCCGGAAACTGGTCTCGAAGTTTCTACAGCTTCTTCTTCCCGGGTCCGAGCTTGTCCGAATTGTGTGCATGGCCATTTTCCGGCATTTGAGGTTTTTGTTTGGTGGCCTGCCTTCTGATGCCGAAGCAGCTGGTACTGTAAATGACCTTGCCAAAAAGGTCTCTCTTTGTGTGAGTTGTATGGATCTTAATTCACTCAGCGCCTGTCTTGCTGCTGTGGTTTGTTCGTCCGAACAGCCGCCTCTCCGGCCAGTGGGCAGCCTCGCCGGAGATGGCGCTTCTGTAATATTGAAGTCTGTTTTAGAGAGAGCCACTGTTTTGTTGAGAGACCCTCAGTTTGCCAGTAACTTCAGCAGCATTCCTAATCCCGCTCTCTGGCAGGCTTCATTTGATGCCTTCTTTGGTTTATTAACAAAGTACTGTGTGGGTAAATACGATAGTATTGTTCAGTCATTGATTGCTCAGAATGTGCCGAGTTCAGAAATAATGGGTTCCGAGGCTGCAAAAGCTATAAGTAGGGAGATGCCTGTGGAGCTTTTACGTGCGAGTCTGCCACACACGGATGAAAATCAGAAAAAAATGTTAATGAATTTCGCTCAGAGGTCGATGCCAGTTACAGGATTTAATTCTCATGGTGGGAATAGCGGACAAGTAAATCCTGAATACGTACGAGGATGAGATACGGTGAATTTTACTGAATTTGTAGAAGCATAATAAACGGGGGCTCGGGGGCTCTCGTTTGTTTGCCTTTTCTCCCTTGTCTGTTTTATCTTTTAGTTCTGTTGCAGGGTTAAAGACCGAAGCTTGTGCGCATATATATATATCGGGCTGAATTTTTAGTGCCTAAAGATATGCATTGTTATTGTTCGGACACTGAAGGTAGCTTGCCTCTCTGAAGTGTCTTTCCCACTCTTCTTCGGTTTGCCGGAGGTTTTTCTTCTGCTTTACTTTTTTCATCTTCTTTTTTTCACGAGTACTCTTATATTTTAAGTAACTTTGTGTTTGTATCTGAAAGCTCTTGTATGCTTTTTTAATCTGAAAGAGCTTTTTTCTAGTTCGACACTATTGTAAAACCCCTTGAATGAACTTTTTTTTTTTAATTGAAGGGGTTAATTGTACAGGTGTCATTCAAATTTGAGAATGATGAAGATGATGGGTGTTTTTCTTCTTGATCTTGATTATCTCTCTTTATGTACAACACAAATTGTTGTGTTAAATGGTCAGAACTTTTGTGTGGCCGAATTGTTATACTTTTATTATGTTGATTTTTACGTATGATATTTCAATTTGAAAATTTGAAAAATGTATATGTATATACCATTAGCTCTCTCAGTTTTTAACTTACCTTTTGTGTGTGCATGTCTTCGGGAAGATGCAACTGTCTCGTTACATAATTATTTTGTCGATGTTTGTAACTGTTAGATCAATTATTTTTACCGGTTATATGATGATTTAACGGTCAAATTTCTCGACGGAATAGTTATGTAACATGACTTTAGCATTTCTATGTCTTTTATTTAATAAAATGATGATATTATTCTCTTCATTATTAAGATACGCAAATCATAGGGCTATTATTTTTAATTCGTCAAAATGTTTCACGTATGATAAAAATATGCTTGTAAAATATTGTTAAGCACGCAATTTCTGTATGGTGACACCCATTTCTTCTTCGTCCGCGTTGACTGCAGCAACACAGTAATCAAATTGAAATGTTGACTTTTACAAATACCATTATGCAAAGTCTATTTTATTTTGGTTACAACTAATAAGGCTATGTTTGGTAAAATTAATTGATAAGCTAGCTGATAGCTGATAAATTAGCTTATAGCTTATATGTAATTTTTGAGCTTATAGCTTATAGCTTATGATTTATAGCTGAAAAGTTAGCTTATATGATAAAAAGTGTTTGGTAAATTAGCTGATAAGCTAGCTGAAATAAAAAAATTCAACCAGCTTATTTGAAAAGCTACCTAAAGTAGCTTATGAAATAAGTTCGAGCTTTTTAAAAAAGTTCGTCCTACCAAACGAGACTTATTTTAAACAGGGAGTTTATAAGCTAACCAAATAAGCTAAAAGCTAGCGTATTTGGCTTACCAAACATACCCTAAAAATGCAATTGGTTTGAAAAAGTAACGTGTGAAGAAGTCGACTGGGGTTTGCACGTCTCCACTTTATCATCTTCCTAAGCAAATTACAAAAACACCCGATTGCTTCAATCTTTTGGTAAATCCGAGTCAACTTCTTTTTTTCTATTGTCAAATTTCACAAGAAATTAATGGGTATTTAAAGAGACACGTTGAAAGACAATAAGAAATTAATTACTACACATAAACAATTTTAAATATAGGTGATAGCTGTATGTTATTGTTTTCTTTGAAAAATATTGATTTTTGTTTCAAAATTTGGAAAATTTGCACCTCTATGCCCTTATCTAGTTTTCTTATTTATTTATTTATTTTTTTAAACTGTTGGATAACATGCAATCTGACGAACACCATCATCAATCTTCTCCTCGCTACTCCGAATCTTGGAAATTTCATCTTAGGGTGCTTATTGAAACTTTTACTACTGTTGGATTAACACACACACTTATATGAAAAAAAAAATATATATGGTAATTGCGAGTTTTCCCAAAATATCATGGCCGTTTATCTATTTTTATTTATTTATTTTTTTATCTGAAGAAAAAAGAAAAAAAAATCTTTTATGCTCTCTAATTCCTCTCTTGCACACACACACACACACACACACACACACACACACACACTAAAGATGAATGCATGGTTTGATGGCACCATTTGCGTGGGGAGAGCAATTTCAAGCGCCTCATTTCATGGCTTTGCTCCTCATTAGTTGCACTCATCATCAACATGCTCACTTTTCTTCCTTCACAATGCTCCAATAAACAATTTTTTTTTTTTATTTTTCCTTATTAATTCACACCTTATTTGGAGAGAGAATTAAGGAGAGAGAGAGAGAGAGAGAGTCAATAAACTCCAATTCTAAGCAGCCCTTTGACATTTGGACTTCCATCATTAATTTGTGCCTGTCTTTTGGTCTTCTTTAAAACACACAAATACACAAATACACATAACACATACACAGTTTCTAACTGGACATTTATTCTCCCTTTATTTCTTTCTAATAGGTAACTCCTTTTTTTTTTTTCATTTTCATTCAATTCTTTTAAAGAAGATGGGTTTTTTTTTTTTAAAAAAAAANNNAAAAAAAAAAAAAAAAATAAATGCTTGTATACTAGCTAGCAAGGTTCACTTTTGACAAGTTTTATTCCAAATTTGTTCATGGGATTTTTTTTTTTCTTTATAAGATTGAATCCTTTTGTTCTGATGGTTGATTAATCCATAAATTCAAATCCCAAATTTGCTTGTATGAAATCAAATTACTGAATCTTCAAGAATCTTGTTTCTATTTATGTGTGAATTTCATGTGGCCTCATCAACATGTTTATATTATTATTACTATTGTTATTACTAATTTGTGCAAATTTGGTGTGTGGCTCTGTGTTATTTGCAATCTGATCCTTCTATTAAATTTCATTTACATTATTTCCTGATGTTTTTGAGTGGATCATTGCATACCAACATATATAGATAATCATTAATCATAGCAGATAATTGTGTTTTTTTATTTTTTATTTGTGATTCATTTCCAGTTAGGTGGTGGCTTTGAAGAAGAAACATTTTGTCCTGCATCATTAGACTGAAGTTTCTTATATAGATCAACAAGGTACACAGGATGGACTCACATTCTTTTCTTTCTATATATTTCGACAAAATTATACGTTATTTGTAATCGTTAAACGTTGGCCAAGATATATATTTGCACGAATAGTTTCTTGATTTTGCAATGATCATCATCTCTTGGCTCAAAAACTGAAAAAAAAAAAGAAAAGAAAAAGAAGGAATAAAAAGAAAGCAATAGTGTTTTGAAATGGAAAATTTTGGTTCAAGGATTTCAAATATTCGAATTTCGGTTATGGATTTCATCGAGGCCAAGCGTAAAAGCAACACGACTCGGAAAATTCTATTGGCGGCCGGACTCACTGCACTATTCATTTTCATGCTCAAGAATTCTCCCGGCACATCTACTTCGACAAAGGTATCTCAAAAGTCATCATAACTGAACAAGAAATAGAAGATAATAAAGTTAAAAGAAAAAAAAAACACTGTTTAGTTTCACCTTTGATGATCTCTTTTAGAGATTCTTATCTGTTTTTAGAATAAGTGATCCTCACCTTTTGGGATCTGGAAATCAAATTTTCATAATTTTAGAATTGACTTTTAATGAACCATTCCTAAAGAAAGTCCCATCATAATATTGTGATCTTATTTTTTTTTTTTTTTTTTTTTTTGTTGACAAAATCACTTATTTTTTGTTTTAACTAATTCTTGATTCTTGATCTTAATTATCTGACTTTTCTTACATGTGAATTTGTTCGATTTCAGTTCTCACAGCACGAGTCTGGTGTAACGCATGTCCTCGTCACAGGTGGCGCCGGGTACATAGGCTCTCATGCTGTTCTTCGACTTCTGAAAGATTCATATCGTGTAACTATTGTGGTACGTATATATGCAATTTTTTCTTATTTCATTTTTTTCTCTAATTACAATGTAATGTGTATAATTTGATGTTATTTTAATTATTATACACGTATTTACCGTTAGGACAATCTTTCTCGTGGGAACATGGGGGCTGTTAAAGTCCTGCAGGGACTATATCCTGAGCCGGGCAGGCTTCAGTTTGTATATGCTGATTTAGGAGATGCATCAGCTGTATCCTTGACAAATTTGTATTTTATTCTTTTGTTAAGCGAGAAGAAAAAAAGGGACATTTTTTCGAAGAAGTTTTCTTTTACCTTCTATATCAGGTGGATAGAATATTTTCCGAGAATGCTTTTGATGCCGTTATGCATTTTGCGGCTGTTGCCTATGTCGGCGAAAGCACATCCGAACCTCTAAGGTATAGTATTTTGCAGATGAATTAACCCAAACAAATCATAAGTATATAAAAAAACGAGAGAGAGAATTCGGTTTTAGTATTCTTTCGAATGGTATTTTCTGCTTCTGATTCGACATATTCCCATTTTAGTCTCACAGAAACAAAAAAGAAGAGAATAGGATGTTTTTTTATTTTACTTTTCAATTTATTCGCTTATTGTTTTGAATTATTTCATGCAGGTATTATCATAACATTACTTCAAACACCTTGGTAATCGTGAAAGCAATGGCGAAGCACGGCATAAAGACCTTAATCTATTCAAGTACTTGCGCAACTTATGGAGAGCCTGAGAAAATGCCCATCACAGAACAAACTCCCCAAGTGAGTGACTTTTAGTATGAACTTTTCATGTTTTTGAAAGCAATAATTCGGGTGTTGATATTTTATATTTCTCGTGAAATTTAGCTACCGATTAATCCGTACGGAAAAGCAAAGAAAATGGCTGAAGACATTATATTGGACTTCTCAAAGACATCAGATATGGCTGTGATGATCCTCAGGTTAAGTAGAAAAGACTAACAACTAAAATACACTTTTACTTATAAACTCTGCTAAGAATGACTTAAAAAAAAATGATGGTTTGTGATTAGATACTTTAACGTGATTGGATCCGATCCGGAAGGAAGGCTTGGGGAGGCCCCACGACCCGAATTGCGTGAACAAGGGAGAATATCGGGCGCTTGTTTTGATGCAGCCAGAGGAATAATTCCCGGACTAAAGGTACAATTTTGGTTCTTCTTCAACTTGTCGAATTTTGCGGAAAGAAAAGAAAATAACCAAGAAACAAAGGATTGATATGTAACTTACTTGAAGTTGAAACACCTCGTTTTGCTCGCTTTTCCTTGTGTGGTTTTGCAGATAAGAGGAGTTGATTATAACACTCCAGATGGAACTTGTGTTAGAGATTACATTGATGTTACAGACCTCATTGATGCGCACGTAAAAGCTCTAGCACGTGCCCAGCCTGGAAAAGTCGGAATCTACAATGTCGGAACGGGAAAAGGTTCGATTTTTACCAACATTTTTCCTGTTTTTCGAAAAAAGGTTTGATTTTACCAACATTTTATCAAAAATTGTCTATCTCTAGCAATGGAAATTCATCATCCGTACATAACGTTCAATGTTTACCAACATTTTCCCTGTTTTTTTGTAAAAAGGTTCGACTTTTACCAATATTTTCTCTGTTTTTGAGAAAAGGTTCGATTTTTACCGACATTTTATCGAAAATTGTCTATCTCTAGCAATGGAAATTCATCATTCGTACATTACGTTCGATTTTTACAGACATTCTCCCTGTTCTTTTGAAAAAAGGTTTGATTTTTACCGAGATTTTCCCTGTTTTTGAATAAAGGTTCAATTTTACCGACATTTTCCCGGTTTTTGAAAAAAAAAAAAGGTTCAATTTTTTGCCAACATTTCCCCTGTTTTTGAAACACAGAAGCAATAACATTAAAATTGGCCTAAACATGACAGCGTCACAATTGCATTATTTTTCGGAAAAAAAAAATATAAACTTACACACTTGTTTGTTTCAACTATATAGGTAGCTCGGTAAAAGAGTTTGTGGAAGCGTGTAAGAAGGCTACTGGAGTGAACATAAAAGTCGATTATCTTAGCCGAAGACCAGGAGATTATGCCGAAGTTTACAGTGATCCTTCAAAGATTTGGAACGAACTCAACTGGAAAGCAAAATATACGAACCTTGAAGAGAGCTTGGCCATCGCGTGGAGATGGCAGAAAGCACATAGAAATGGTTATGATAATTAATTAACTCTTTTCTTCTTAAAATAAAGGGAAATCATGAATAATTCCCAGAGAGTTAGTTAGATAGTTGGTCAGTTAGTTAGTTAGTTAGTCAATCCTTGTTCTATTTTGTTTTTTCTTGGAGCAAACATTGCAGTTTATGCCCTTGACAAGAAAAAGAGATGTTTCATTTTATGGCTTTAAAGTTCTTGTGTCAATTGTCAAAAGATTGATTTTTACATGATTTTTGTGGCTATCTTAATGAATTATTAAAATTCCGCAAATGTCTATTAGTCTTAGTTAGAGTTAGACCTGTTAAATTTGTACCAAAAAAAAAAAAAAAAAAAAAGAGTTAGACCTGTTAAATGAAAAAAAAACTCATATGAGCTCGATTTCAGTTCGTTGAGATTCGAATTCGAGTAGACCCATTTGACAAGAGTTAAGCTCTGAGTTCTTTAAAGCTCATTTAATGTATCATGTTCTTACCTAAGTTTATATGTATCTTAGCTAGGTTCGAGCCTATTTATGACTTATTCATGGCTTCAACTCGATAAAAACTCAAGCTTGATTATTGACTCTCATATATTTCCAAGAAATTAGCCTAAGTTGTTGAGCAACAAAAAATAGAAATAGAAAAACTATATCATTAGGATTATAGAAAAAGACGTCATATTTATCTAAAATAGCAACTAATTCGAGTCTATATATTTCATTGTTACTAAAATTAAAATATTTTAACAAAATATTTGAATAATATCTTCTGCAATACACGTTTAAATTTAATGTCAATCTCATGTTAAGAATTAGTTCCCAAAAATATGGGCATACAGTCGCTTGAAGATTACTGATAATTATTTTACCAAATGGTCATATTTAATTCGAACACATTTTATCACTCCGATGTATTATTATGTTTTATTTTACAAAGAAAAAAAAAAAATGGATTGGGTATTTAATTAAACAAAAAAAAAAAAAAAA